TGGAAAGACATTTTCATCTTCATACTATTTAAAGAAATGTTTACGTTTACAGGAATGTTTCTGTTTATTTACAGTGTTAGGAGATACTGTCGTAACAAAACTTGCAATGTATGTCTACCTGTCATTTTATGGGAGGGAAAGAAAACCTGCACACAAAACTAGTATTTAATCCATAACCACTAGAACTAAATAGCAGTTCTAATGATGAGAAGATATCACATATGATTTAGGAGGGGAAGAAATCAGTTTCAGTATCAGCCACTACAGCACCAAATAACCACTGGCAAGTCACTGCTTCTTCCCACCAGCAGCTTATGAACAGATGCACCCAATTGAAGGCTGACCCCTATTACATCCTTCTCACTTTGTATTACTGTTAGTGCACTATGATACAAACAAGAGGCAATCAAGGGCTCATCAGTGATAACAGAACTAAAGAACTATAATTTTTTTACAGGAACAACACAATCTCATTTAAGATGCTTTATTAATTGTATTTAATTAAATAATATATTAAAACAAATCTGAACCTCCTCTCTAAAACAGCTCCACAAGCAGCAGCTACTTTCACCTCTTACTAGAATAATGTCCATGAAAGGCCCTGAGACTAATTCCACCACATGGGTTTATATATGGAGCATTTTACTCCATCATAATTTTGAAGACTTAAAGTTGCTGCAATACTAGAAAGCTCGATTTGATTTCCATGTGTAAAGTCTAGCTGTAATGGATGTTATAAACCAAAGGATAGTCAGCTTCCTTCTGTATCTTCTCCACATCATAATTGACAGCAGAGAACTGACTTGTGACCTAAAGCAGTGAAAGGCAATACGCCAGCTGTGACGATGGAGGCACCAGCACACAGCACTCCTGCAGCAGCAAGGGTAGCTAAAGTGAATCTCCCCAAATTAACACCAGCAGCATTTTAAGCCACTCCAATATGTACCACTTATGAATTACAGCCTTAAGTGATTTTTTAGTCAATATTAATGTATTGAAAATTTTCAAACAAAATCATTTGTGTGCACACTGAATCAGTATAAATTCTGCAAGTTTATTGCATGTCCACACTAGTATTGTCTTAAACCATTTCATGTCCTTAATCGTGTACTCAAATGTCAGTTTCTGGCACAACTCCAGAAGGGAAAAAAGTTTAAACATTGTGAAATTGAGTGTTGAATTATGTGTTTCAAACTAAGTTACCAAGCTCTGGAAATTTCTGTAAGGTACTAACAGCTGCTAGACCTCCCTGCATCTGTGCCAAGGGAATTAAAATGTTGGCTAAAAAGGTAAAATACAGAAAATTATACATTTCTAATGTAAAGAATACTTGAGTAGCTTTATCTGAAACAGAAAACGTTAATTTCTTTCCAAGAATTGTCAAATATTACTGTTTTAAAGTCCCTACACTTCAGAATGTCAAGAATGTCATTATCCATATTCCTGGTGTTCTGCCAGTAGGAGATCTGGCAAAGGACTCTGATGTGCTCTTTTTAATTCAAGGCCCTCTGCTGCAAAGATCTCCCACAGAGAAGTATTTATAAACCATATCTCCTCCTCCTCCACAAAAATATTGCCAGAGCTTCATGCTCTTGCCTTACAAATATTCATTATTTTCTTCTGCCTTTGCAAGGCACACAACTGACTGAGGCTCGTTTGGACTCGAGGAGCAGTAGTGCTCCTCACGTGAAGATTCAAGAATGGTTTCAGTGTCATTTCATCCTGTGTCACTGTCCCAGCAGAAGGGTCAGCCCCTTTCTCGCTGCTTTTGGATTCTGCTTTGCTTCATACCTGGTTCTGGTATGAAGGCTCTGCTCCTCTCCTGTTACATCCCATGTCTCTGGGATATCATCTGATTTTTAACACAATCCCTCTCACTTTATTTTTTTTTTCTTCCTTATGCGCTGATACCTTAATTTTTGGATAGCAGAGTTTTCCAAACAGAAAATTTATCATTGCAAAATTGAATTAAGAGTCCTCATAAGAAAAGGCAAATATGTTACGACCAATTTCACCCTCATCTCAAAGCTGAATTGTTAGCAAATTTTAAAAAAAGTACCATCCCTGAGCCAGGAAGCAAAGGGGAAAGATAAAACATGACAGTGAGGATACCAGTAAAGGTGTAAAATGATGCAATGAGACAGACAGTGAACTTATGCACTAACAGCGAGTACCTGTGAAAATATTTGTTAAGTTTGTATGTAATTTATAACATTCTATCTTTTCTTTGGAGACCAAGAGTGCAATCTTTGAACTGAGGAATTAACAAGTGGCTCCCTCTACAGATATGAGAATGCTCTCAGTACTTGTATTTCCAGAAACTTTTAAATGGTTTCATCACCATCAGAGGCACAGTAAAATTAAAGAATCAAAACATGCAGAGTTTGAATTTATCTTCAAAATTTGTTTTAAAGAGTGGGGGGAGGGGTCTATGCCTAAAAGCTTTCCTCTTAAAGTTAATAAAGTGAAGACTAAATATTTCAAATAATGCTTGTTCATTCAGTAGCTAGGCAGCAAAACTAGCTTACTTTGGGCTTGAACCACAGTACAGATAAAAAATGAATTAGTCTATTCCAGCACAAATCTGGTATTATTGGAGAATAGTTTCTATTTTTTTATTAAAAACTTAACTTTTTTTTTTTTTTAGTGCATGGAAAAAAACATTCCTTAAACTACTAAAATTCAAATGAAGACTGAGAAAAGGGAAACAACGTATTCAAAAAACGTCTCATGTTCAAAACAAGTTACCTTTTAACTGCCATTAAAAATTATATAATGCAACCTTGCAGAATTTAGATATAAATGCAAACAGCAAAACTTGGCTTATTGCACACAGCTCTGAAACTTCAACAGTACAATGGAACACCATTCATAAACAAGTTCATACACAGAAAGATAAAAAATGCTCATGTCTAAAATCCATCTTTTTCTTTTTTAATTCATCATTATTATTTTTGCTTGAGCAATACAGTATTTTAGTGTGTCCGTAGAATTACTTCCCAATATAGATGCACAGAATTGAGCACAGTAAAAATACTTTGGATGTGGCTGCCAGGGCCTTGGGTTCATATTTTTTGATAAAAGGAAGAAATTGAACATTGAGAGATGCATCTGGTTTTGTAACCATACTCCTCCTGATAACAGAATCCGCTACCAAAGTCTCCACAGTTTCACACAGCACAGTAGGTAGTGTTTGAACTTGCAAGGTAATTATTATTTTAAATATCATTTATTAGAATAACAGGATATGTGCATGAATTGCAGTGGAGCTACAAGCATCCTAAAAATCAGAACCATTCAGAACGTAAATCAGACCCAGATCTAAAGATGGCATTGGATGCAGCTACAGAAATAATCCAGTGAGAAAGGCATTCGTAGCAAACGCAGTCCATGAGCTTGTGAAACAGAAGAAAACAGTCAGAATTAGAAAGACAATGCATGATTCACTGTTTCTCATGGAACTTTCTCAGGCACTTTCTCTGCTGTTGCAAAGGGCATCTCAGAAATGGTCTTCCAAAAACCTAACTGCCCTAATATGGCACTGATAGAAAAATGAAAAGCAGCACCACCAGCACTGAATACTAGGACTTATTTGTGGCTTTTCTTACAATGTGAATAAGACCACCTATATTACATAAAGTCAATCTTAAAATGTAGAGAACAAACTTCTTTTGACAGTAAACTCTTGAATTTACCACAAATCTCATACCCATAACCAGAAGACAGAGTCTGAAGAGTTTATCCTGAAGATGATTCTATAAAATATTAAGGGATGGAAGAGGACAACTTTGCACCGCTCATTCATAGGAAATAGTTCCTGTTATTTGCCATTCAAAACAATGCTTCTAATTAAAATATTTTTTTTAAAATTAGCACAGAAAGGGAGAAAAATGTGATCATTATCAAAACATTTCCATTTTGGTTCTGTCCTGGGGGAGTGCTGGGAAGTCATGTGTGTCTCTATGGACTGTAAACCAGGAACAGCCAGTGGAGCTAGAGTGACACTGAAATGTAGAACTTATATGTAATTTGATTAAGTGCAGCTGTGTGGTTATGTTTCCTTCAGCAAAGGTTGAATAGCACAATGTGTGCTTTAAGAACAGAATTTAGAGAAAGAGATGAAGATTGCAATATACACATATTCTCACATTGGCACCTAAAAATAAAAATGTATGAGGCCAGGATACATGAGTGAAAAAACTGTGCTCAGACATGAACACAGCTCTAGATGATTTAGGGGGCCTATAGTTAACACCAGTCCAAACATAACAACTAGAGAAGCCATTTCCCTTTAAAACCAAGCACAAACAAAGTCCCCAGACCACATTGGGGTTCTGTCTACACTTGAATAAGTAACTGTGACTTTGAAGTAATTCATCTATTCTTGATTAAATCCAAACATGAATATTTATTTTGGAATAAGAACATAATACTTAACATTTTTCAGGCGTAGCTCAATCACTCAGGACAAGAAAAACAAACCCCCAGATCTCAGCTTTCAGTTGTGGCAAAGCAATTTATACCAATAGAGGTCTTCCCGCATGGGGATGTAAAAATATTGAATCCCATCTCCTTCAACAGATTTCTACAGTGTTTACACAGTATTAAATCATAGACATAACAGGAAACGCATTCTGTAAAAACAGAAGAGTTCTGACACCCCTTGCTTTGTGTGTAGGCTGCTCAGCATAGCGGCGTACCTGCAGCTTACCACCTCAGTTTAGCACTGACATGATGACACCCTGTTGGGGCCATCAGTGCAGACAGAATGGTGGATGTAAGCTCACTTAAAACACATCTATTGCAGTGCTGCCCTGCGCATGGCTGAGGGGGGGGGGGGGGGGCCTTGTGCTCCGCCATCCCCTGCCAGTTTCCTACCAACCTCGCATCTGTGTCTGCAGCCCAGACTGCCACACACGCTTGCAAAGCCTTCTGCTAAGCAGAATATCAGCCTTTCTTTCTGCTTCCTCACCTCCTTTTTCCCATCCTCCTCACGACAGCTCACCTAAAGTGAAACAAGATGGACACCCTTTGAGGCTGCACAGCAACAGGGCTACCTTGGAGCTAGCAGCAGTGATAGCAGCTGAGGAAAAGCCCTCTTATCAGCACTGCACATTGCCTCCACAACAGATACCGTGGTGGGATAAGGAGGATGGATAGAGCAAGCTGCTACCGTGGTAAGGCCCTCAGGAGTATGGCATTCGGTGTGAGGTATGTCAGGTGTTCCTTGTGCCACAGCATCTCTCTTTGACAAGTGAGAATGATTAAACTGAACATCCATATGAAAATTTTTAGTTGATGAGAAAAAAAAAAAAATCAAATATTCTGTCAACTCTGTTATGTCTCAGGAATTAACTTTCTTGTTTTCCTTCTTTTCCACTCATTAAAATCTGAGATTTCTCTCAGATATGAGAGAAAAAAAAAAAAGGGAATTACTTCATATATGCTCTCCAAAATGACCTTCAGTGTGCTCATTCTCTGTGTTAGACAAAGATCATCTACAATTATTTTTGCTTACCATCAATCAACTTTTTTCTTTCACAGGAAAAATAATATATGGTCCTCTACCCTACACTCAGTGAGTTACCTGCTGCCACAACAAACTGGTCAGTGGACATACATAATGCCTCAGTGTTAATGTCTGAAGGAAAACTTGGTTTTGCTCTGTTCCTTTCTATAAGACTCTTCGCAATGATTTTACCTACTCAATAGTAAGGTTTTCATCATAGGTTTTTAAAATGTTTTTTCATCGAAGAACAGCTTTCCCACCTATCACATTTTTTTTTAAATTCAGATTTTTCTGTCATCATACAATTCAGCATTAGGAGATATGCTAGAATTTAGCAATGAATACCATAATCTAGTTCACATTTTCAAACTCGTAGGATTTTTCTTCTAGGTACAGTCAACTCTTTTCCAAGATGATGGGAGAGGCTCTTGGAACACAAAAGGAATCTGGGCCAGTAGGAAGAAAAAAAAAAAAATACTGTCTTTGGTACAATGTTTTCTGGTATCCCCTATTTAGCATTTGGGATACCAGAAAACACTGTACCAAAGACAGTTAATATTAGCTAAGGTCAGCAGGAATGACAAATTCAGATTCACTACTGGTGCAAGACTTGCTTGCAAAACTACATCACAGACAAGCTTTCATGCATAGAAAAGCAGATTTTTTTTTTTCCATTAAAAAAATCCTAAAAAAAAATAAATTGTTTTGATGAGCTTTTAATGATGGTGGTTCCAACAAGGCTTTCTCAGCTCTTCTTCATGCAGTCCAGTTCTGTTGCGCACTGAGAGAGGATTTTGTGGCTGTTCATAGAGCAAGCAAGCTTGTAGGGAATCAGGAACAAGTGAAAACAAAACAGAAAAACAGTGATGATTTTGTTCAAAGCATAGATGAGATGCAATCATGTGTTCATAATATTGCAAAAGCTCCATCCACTTTCTTCAAGGAAAATTGAGACCATAGTGACAATGGTTGGAGCTGGTGCCTAAAACTCAAACCTGGAGGCAGGTTTACTACAGGCAACTACCACACAGGTTAAACCACAACACTTCTGGAAGAGCTGCTTAGAAGCTGATCAAAAGTTTTTCCATCTCACTCTGATGCAATACTAAGCAGAATTACCAAATTCAGCATCATTTTCCTCCTCAGGATTCTACCCCTCTTACGTGGAAATCCTTAACTGATTGCAACTTACTCCCCTACAGCTCATTAAAACACCCTCTCAGATCAGCAATGACTGGCTTCAGAGACCTAAGATTTCGTGAGGACAGACCTTGCTAATCACACAGGATTTATTAGTTGAGCATTACTTTTTTTATTATTTTTTGTAAATAACTTTACTCACCTGACCAGACCTATGAATTGTCCACTCAGGTGCAAAGGGGAAAAAAAAAAAACCAGTCTATTTGGATGCAGAACCACATTCAAGCAATTTCTTCCTTCTCACTGTTTCTTTTTTGAGTATGTCAATAACTGCTCCTAATATATTTTAGTTTTGCTCTTGCTGCAGTTCCTACTGAGAGAGCAGCAGGACTCTGCCTTCTATTTCTGACCTCACAATGCATATGAAGAGGCTATCTGAGACAACTGTGAGAAACTTTCAACACTTATTTCCTTAGTTCATCCAGTACATCTGGCTTCTAAAGCAGCGATTTCAAAATCCAGGGAAATCCTACTGGAGAGAAAACCAATGTTCTTACTTTTCAAGGTAAGGCTCAGCATGCCAGAAGTTCAGCATGGGCTCCGTACCTCATGCTTTCAGTCACAAAAAAAAGCACAAAAGAAAAACCATTTAAAGGAAAGCACAAAGACTTAAGCGTGTACACAGACACACTGTAATCTTCACTTTGCTCCTGCTCAAGCGTGGTCCTACATGCCAGTTTCTGGAAACTACATTCAATTTTCCTGCTACCGTACTTTTGGGCCAGAACCCAGAACAGATTTCAAGTAGTAGAGCAGCCTTAAATGCAGTGTACTAGCTTTGCACAAGACACAGCATGTAATTCCTATATAAACAGCATCGTGTTTTGTTAATAGCCTTTTGCAGGATTCTTGGTTAAAACAAGCAGGGCAAAGACAAACAAAACAGCACAGGTACTTAAATTACTCCAAAGGCATACTGATGGTCAATATAATTAGTATTTTAAAAGCAACACAGACATCACAGAACTTTTAAAGCACTAAAAGCATCTTCTGTTGATGGGAGTTGTGATTTTATGCGTTCTTGCTGGAATCTTACTTTTAACTGCTCTTACAATATATCCTGCAGTCTGGATGAAAAAGCAAAAGGCTTTTTTTGTTGGTGCGCTCTGTGCCCTCCATCTTGGCCATGTACACAGAACTTACTAGTCACCTGTAATATCACCTGCAAGTCTGTTTAGTATCCAGAAGTTACTCACACAATATTCAGTATTATCCATAACAACACTTACTGTTGTCTGTTCTGCATTTACTGTTTATATAGGAACTAGCACATCTGAATACAGGTCAGAAATCTTGCCTCTTGATCACTAGAAACCAACAGATGCATAATGCCATCTTGTGATAGTATTGCAATAGTACACCAGACTCCAACACAGCTTCCACACAGTGGTCATCAGTTGTTCACAGGCCCTTAGGAGTATACAATTACTTCCAAAATATATGATGAAGACCTAAGGAAAGCACGTAAACATTATACAGCAGTCACTGTATCTGAAAATAGTGAAATGCCTGTTTGTATTTTCACCAATACCTGGTTTTCAGTGAAGAAGGTACGAGAAGCACTAAGTGCTTTTGTTTTCTAGAACGTGCTAACATGTTATTTAAAGTGACATCAGTTCTTCAGAACCATTACTGCTTTAATAAGCAATTAAAATGAAGTGGAAGATTTTTCATAGAAAATATTAACACAGATCTGTAGTAGCAGCAGTTTTTAATTTACCAAAAACTGGCATCTATTAGCAATAGGACATACATAAAAATGTTTGTTTATACAAATAAAATTAGGTTCTGAATATTCACAAAGTAACATGACAGAGCAGCGTTCTTACTCATACTGACATTTAGTCTGATCAGTTGTGATAGAAAAACCCTGTGTAATCTTCAGTCAAGCACCATGGCAGATAGTGCATTAAGATCTCTCATGAATGGATGATCAGCTAATATTTTATCAATCTTCTGTCTTTGCTCATAATCAGGAAATATTTTTATCAAGGCTTCTCTTAATCGTACTGTTTCTGAGGCAGATCTTTGTGGTGGAATTGACAGACAAGCCTTCATATTTGTATCCAATGGAAGCCATGCTGCTGAACGATCACCTTGTGCTCGATTTTTAGGCTGTTGACTGCTGCTGGTTGGATTGGGAACGTGCACAAACAAAGGTGTCTCAGAAGAATATTGCTCTCTGCTCTGTAAAGCTTTTTGTGCTGACAGAAAAGTTCTATGGAATAAAATGAAAACGGATTAAAGTGAGATAGAGCGAACACTGCCTCTGTACAGTCACAGACAAGAAAAAAGCCTGAAACTCCTGTACTTCACTGATTGCTCAGTTACCGACTGAAAAAATATGAATCACCTGATGCCAAACTGAAACAAAACTGCTGGTATAACATTTTTCAGCTTGAATCTGGCATGACTAACAGTATTAAACAACATTACCTAGGACTTGTTCCAATACACCGTGAGCACTATGACACCTACCTGGCAGGGTATAGCAACAGTCAAAGCTCATTTACTGACACACAAATGTCACTGATCTAAGTGGATTAAAAAGATGTGTTGAACACATACATACTGATTCAAAATGAAAAAAATTGTAAAATGAAAAAACCATCGCCTTCTATCTTTAATAGGGCAATTAAGTTTTTCAGCAATTTTAGGATCTGAGTATTCTATCTTAATTATTGATATTTCATTTCAGACTATTTAAGAAGTCGATGCTACTCAAAATTGCTATCAATTCAGAGCCAATTTCACTTCACATGACAGCACATAACACAAATATGAACTAGAACTCACATTACAGTTTGTTCTCCTGCTACCAAGGGAAACTGTATTAAAATTACAGAGCTCTATTTTAAGTTACACATTAATCCATTTATAATTGTTAGGCTGGTGAGAAAAGGGAAAAGGAAGCCTAATTCTTGTTTAAAAGAACAAATCCATTTTCAAATATTGGCACATAATGCAGAGCAAATTCATCCTTCTGAAATACACACGCATTTAAAGAGTACAATCATAACAACATAAGCTTATTAATATTTAACATTGTAAGTCAAGTACAAATGCCTTTAAATAGCAACACCCCTCCAAAATGGTTTTATTAACAGTACCATAACCACGTGTGAAATGAAATGCCTCTCCCATGACAAAAGATACAAATTCAGTATTTCTTTTGTGGTAACTATTGCTCAAGTGTGTTAATGAGCAAGTGTATTTTAGATACCACCACTGTAATTGGAAGGACACCAGACTACCATATATCTCAACTACCAGTAGGTTTGTGCAATAATGACATACAGTTTGCACCACCTTTGTACGAAAACCACCACAGTGAAACCCCAGAGGAAGTTACTTGAAGCATTTATCTTATTTCAGTTGTGAGAGATGTTGATGCAAATGTCACCAGCACTTTCTGAACAGTCTGCAGTAAGAGGAAAAAAATACCCATGTTTTTAAGCTACTACGTGCTAGCATTCTTGTCTGATTTTACTGTACCCTTACTATATTGCTCTACAGAAGTGTTCAAGTGAGCCACAAACAGTTCATTTCCCATCTGAAATCATAACTGTCTCAAACAGAAGCAAAAACAGAAATTATACCTAGAACAGCTTTCACTTTGAAGAAAGTCATCTAATCTAGGTCCATTTCTTCCCAAGGGATCATCGGGAACCATAAAAATGTCCCCAGCAAAAGTGTACTGGAGCAACCTGCAAGAGAGTTCTTCCATTATTCTTTACTAGCAATGTATTCTCCCCTTCCCACCCTTTATCTCCATATAAAAAAAAAAAAAAAAAAAAAAAAAAGAGGAGTATAAGCCTGGAACAAACACTCCATACAACATCAGGAGTTACTAGAGCTCAGCTAGTGAATACCCATTTTAATTGCAGCCAGCAATCACTGTCAAAGTAACTTTAAGGGAGCATATGTACATTGTTCTTATTTACACTGCAAACCACTGAGGTGGTTGATTTTTTTCTTTCCTTTTACAAACAGCATGTCAGGTGACTGCATTTTTTTTTTTTTTTTTTTTAAAAAACAGAGACCAGTGTGGAATTTTCCAGATGATTACAGAAGATTTTCTGGTTGTTCAAACTCCCCTACTTTGTAAGGATCTTGAAACAAAAAGGGATTAGTGCTTATGTTATCAGAAAGCCACACAATTAGCAAATATTTTTAGATGCTTATGGTTGAAACACAAACGCTTTTATTTTTCTGGAATTATTTTGGGCTGGTGGAAAATCTGCATTCAAGGAAACTCAATCAACGAAAATTTGTCTGTGAAGAGATTTGGTATAGTGGAATTTCCCCAGAAGTAAAACTAACAGCAGATGTTAACACATGATCTTAAAAGAAAAAACAAAAGACTAAGACTGACGTTAATTATTCTTACTGAAGTACTGTATGAGAACAGAACCTGATTTTCGTAACTCACTTAAAGAGTGAAAATACCCATGTGACTAGACAAGGACCCAAGTCAGTTTTCAGTTATTTCAGTGTATGTATACAGAACCCAATCACTGCAGCAAGCGTTTACTCAGAGGATGTCGCAAAGACTGAGGGATTAATAGGAACTTCAGTCAAAACTGAACAATGTACTTTCCTATTAAGATGACCTGATTTAACCGGAAGGAAAAAAAAAAATAAATGAGAGGGGGTCAGAAAAAGAAACTGATGGCTCAAGAGAAACTATGACCCATAGAGAATCCACAAATTGAAACAGGGATACTTGACAGCTAAGTGAACTCATCTAACTCCACAGGATGCTCAACAGCTGTAGGGAAACGGCTGCAGGGATAACATTCATTATTTTGCTTAGCTATGTCTATTTGTTGTACTGCAGTGCAGAGTGAGTGATTCTGAAACATTAACAGTGACGCTGTGTCTGCATTAGCCACTGTATTTCCTTCAAGAAATGAACTGACAAAAAAGACTGTGAGAACAGCTTGCTAAGTGTGTACTCTTAACAGAACGTAACACTGAAACTTCAGAAGCACGCAGCTTGGCTGCCATAGAGGGCTTCTACTTAGAGCAATTAACAGACAGCATTAGAAGATCCGTGAATAACAGGGATATCAGGGTACTCAACACACAATTAGAAGGTCACAAATCAAAGGGGTGGAACTAATAGTAACTTGTGCTCCAAGAGAATTGCATCATAAGTTACCTTCACATGGAATTATAATTTAAAACTTTTTTAATCAGAGTGCCTGCAACTTTAAGGATAGACATCCTACACAGTTTTACAGAAATCTAAGTAATTACCTTTTCTGAATAATTTCTCTCCAGGCAAATGATTCTGTCACAAATTCTCTGAAGTTATCGTTAGTCACAATAACACCTCCAGTTTTATCAGCAAGATGTAATAAAAATCTGTAACATTCATTTCAAAGACAGTTATAGTAGTCTTCTTTGCTGAAAATTGTTCAAAGACCTAGAAAACTAAATATTCTTACCATCAAAAAATAATTTACTTACAGGAAGAAATTTAAACACTGGAAAATTCCTTGATTTTTGACCCATTATTAACTTTAAAAAATATAGTTTCAGGCAGCATTCATTTATTTACTGCACATAATTTTTATGGGACTTTTTTTCCCCACTGGAAGACAAAAATACCAACATGAAAGCGTAAAAACCTCCAAACACAGAATTAATAGATTCCAAAATATTTGTAGAGGTAAGTGGCTTGTTTTTTAAAAAGTACAGTATTTATTATGGATTCAAACCCAACTTATTCAGATATACCTTTCTGCTTAATATTAATGTTTGTGTTCAGTACAGTATTATGCACATCACCTAGTTGTTTGCTTTCTCAATACCTGCTAACAAAAACTGTGGCTACCATTTCAGTGTTAAATAAGTTATGACACTAATTTAGAAAATTCCATGATATTTACCTATTTGAAAATAAGCTTTTTGCTAGCTGAAATACTGCACAGATATGACTTCAGCAAAGACACAATGGTTGGTACTTTTTTTTTTTAAAGATAGAAAATGTCACATTTCAAATGAAGTGCAAATATGTTAATGCAACACTTCCACAGTAATCTAAAAATTACTGCACCTACATAACTGCCTGTATGTAAAATATTTGTGTGTAAACTACTCCAACTTGACTTCTCCTACATAATATAAAGTGATATTACACATTTTTTCTACATTATTACTAAAGAGACTGGAGTTGTGACATTTTAACAAGGACATGAAACTACAGAGCACTTCATTTTTATTCTGCATATCAAATTTTGCAGCCAGGTACACGACTGTACGATGCAACAAAACAGACATGCCCATGATGCAAAGAACTTAACAATTCCACAGTCAGAAAAAGTAGAAATTATTATTAGAACTAAACTGCACTAGCTGACAGCTAGAAATGGCTCATCCAAGCATAATTCAGTAAGCAGGATATAAAAAAAACCTTTACTACCATGTTCTTCTGACTGTGTATCAAGACTAGGAAGATTTGGTAAAACCAACAAAAGCACTAGCACACTCCACTCCACCCACCAAAAGCTTAGTACTGTGTTGTCCACTGCAAAGTGATCCCCCCCATTCTGAAGCATAATTTTGGTTCTCAAATTAACTTATAAACTTAGCAGCCCAAGCAGTGTTACAAATATATCAGCACAAGTACACAACTGTGTCTATATACCACAATGACATTAAGAGGAAAAAAATAAAAGGAACAAAATGGATAAGTAGCTAGTTCATGCTAGTGCTCCTCAGACTTACAAGATCATTTAGGGATAAATTAACAATCAGTAAAGCATAAAAAAACCTTAGTAAAACATTGAGGGTTTTCCCACTCAACGCAAGTAATGATATTTGAAACAGATTCACTTCTTAAATTTTGGTTAAAGTTGCCATGAAAATTATCCAAAATTAATTCAACACAGCAAGCAGTATGTACAAGAACAGAGAATTCACGTTACTGTTACAATATAATATGTGAAAGTCAGTCTAAAGCTGAACACATCGCACCCTGTCAAGACACACTGAACAACTAGATAATAGTACTGATAGTGAAGGACTAAGGACAACCAGGTGTAAAATGTTTTTAATAACTATGCATATTCCATACCTGTCATCATGAGAAGCAATCCTTGCTCCCAATACCATCCTTGAAGGGGTTAAAGACAATATTCCAACATCTTCCAGCTGTGTTAAAAAATCCTGCTCTGTTAAAAGATGAAACATCAGTTCAGTAAAAACAAAAGCTTTCCTCCAAGCTACGTATGGACTTTACAATTAATATATATATATACACACACACACACAAAGAGAGAGATATATAAATAGCAGAGAAGATTTGTACCTATTAATTTACAGAAGTAGCATACTGATAGCTGAAGAGTTATTAACGTATAAGCAGAGGGGGAAAAGGCTGAAACCAGAAACTAAAGAGCGAAGAAACAAAAATGCAAAGAAAAAAAAAGGTCTCCATCTACAGCTTATCAGCAAGTCTATACAGAATATAGGAGTATCTCACAATGTATGCTGAAAACAAATTATCTGTGCTTAGCACAAGTGTTCCTTCCTTTGTGTTATGAAATATTTGTTCTCTATTTTCATAGGAGTACCCAAATAATTATTTACAATTTAAATTAAGAAAACATTAGGAAACTATTTGCCACACCTGTAATGGAAGGATCACGTCTTGTTCTCCACTGTGGAACAAACACAGTAATATTTCTGTGGCCACGTTTCCAAAAGTAGTCAACAGCTATTGCAATTCCTCGACAGGAGAAGAACTTCCTTAAACCATGACTTGGGGGGAGGAGGAATGGGAAGAAAAAGATAAGATTAAATTCAATAGAGCTTTACTACTATTAATGCAAACAAAACAGAAGTAGGAAAATATACCTGCAGCCTCAGCAAAATAAAAGCTAGATGGATATCACAGATGAAAAATATTATGAATGAAAAAAAAATGTCTTCAGCACAGGAAAAGAACAGAATTATCACCTGCAATTTAATGTAGCTCAGTCTTCTTTAGCTTTCATTAGTACAACACCTGGGTAATTAGAAGTACATTTACCTTTAAAAGGAGGCTAACAAAAATTGTTTCAGAAAACTATTGATCATACATAAAACAATCAGCATGCTATGTATCCAAATACAATCCCAGTATAAAACAGTTTCACTTGTTGCCCAAGATTAACTGATAAATACAATGATAACACGAGATGTTAGGGCCTCCTTTTCCTTTTCAACAACCTGAGTTACATATTCAAACAAAATAATGAAATGTCTTCAAAAACATGCCTTCAAAACACTGCAGTCTAGTGGCAATCCTTTAGAAATTAAGATGCTCATTACTTGTTTTTTTACAGCTCAGGTAAGTGACTCTCCTTAAAATCAACAATTGCCTACTATGAACGATACAGAGTTTGACCACCAGAAGTTCTCCTGGATGAGCTATGTACCTAGAGACTTTTCTCTTAGTTGCCTGCAAAAGCAAGTCAACTTCTGTTAACTTAGCAACAGAGCTCTCACTGAAATTACCTCTGACTGTGAGGCTTTAAATATGGAGATGGAACAACGATAATTCCCTGCTTTAAAATGGCACACATCAGTCATCAAAGCTTGACAGCTGCCGAGTAAGAAATACTGCAGAATTAACTCAATTTTCATTCTGTAAAGTCTTGTTATCAAGAAGGATCTCATCTACCAACTAAGGTATACTTGGTTTTAGATTCCATCAACTATCCTGTTAATTTTTTTTTCCTGATATTAATATTTGGACTTCATAAATCTGAGCTGTTTTAAAAATTACTGAAAGTTCTACCAAAGCAAGAAAGTTTAATCTTAAAGGCTTTAGAGCAAATATTTCCAAGAATAACACAATCACCTAGCAATTAAAATCAAAGCCAAAGACCTTCCTTATTCTACACATAGTCAACTTTAAACCATTTACTCATTTTTTTCTTTAAAAATAAATTCTACATTAATTGTTTTTATGATACAGTAAGTCTTAACTGCATTATTATAGTTAGAGTTGTAAACTGGTATAAACGTCATACATAGAATCAGCTACAATCTTGTGAATAGTAACTTAAGGCTGTCATAAATATGAATGCTGTTATGAAATTGAGAATGAAAACTATCAAAACTGCTATGTATTTGAAATTGAACTGGCTGTCAATTGCACATAATCTTTCATTATTAAACCTTACCCTATCTTATCAGTGTAGCCACTATTAGCATCTGAAAAGCACAGCTGAATACATACTGATCACCAGAAAGCTAGCTACCAAAAATTTTGTACATACTGCAGCAACCTTATCGTCCCAACTTCACTTGGAAGTTTATTGAAGGTTTAACAAGGAGATACTTAGTAAGAACAATACTTACGAAATTGCAACGTTGCTTCCATCAATAATGATATGTTTTAAATATGGTTTCCCAGGTTCATTTTTCAACTCCAGTCTGTATGGCTTTTTGAGAGATTCCAGAAATCTTTGGACACCAGTAATTGAAGGATCAATATGACGCCTGTATGCTCTGTCCGTCTCTCTGTCAGGATTTGTAGAATTTATCTCTGAAGACAATATATGGGCTTGGGTAGGATTTTCAAAATTTGACATTTGAGAAGTGTGTTGGTTGGGAGATCTCACTTGATAAGAGCTGCAGTGTCCTAACTGGTCCTCTACAACAGGATGACTATTCTGCACAGGTGAGGACCCTGCAGATTTTTGCTGAACTGCATTTTTACTCTTAGCTGAGGTACGCCACACATCTGAGCTCCCTCTGGCTACAAAATCAACACCTTTGGGAGCTCCAGCCTGCGTAGGACTGAGAGGTACAGAACCATCAGTTTCTGTATCACTTGATGTTGAGTTATGATTCTTAGCAGGACAATAGTTATCTCTTTGTTTATAGCATATAGCTGAACTTTTACCAGGAGAGACAGGTTTGCATACAGATACATGCATTTTATCTTCCGCATCAATTTGAGTACTTGAGATCTCTCTGATTTTGTGACGTTCTGTTCTCATCTCATTTGAAGTATGACTGGTTTTAAGTGGATTTTTCTTGCAAGAAATGTCCTCATCTTCTAGGATATGTGGACTATTTGCATTACTTCCTGAACAAAGATTTGTAGTTCTAGGCGTTTTAGATGACCATTCTTTTTCTTTTTGAAGTTTCAAGTTTTCTTTTTCAATTTCTTCTAGCAATGTTAAGGGTTCCACAGACTGTCCTAGAACACCAATAACTTTTTCCACAATACTTTGTGAATATCCCATTGTTCTAAAAAAGTTTACAAGAATCTTATATTCTATTTCCTCACTGATATCATCACCTTCTTTTATACAGTAACTGGGATCATCTAATTCACCACAGCTACCTGAAATCAGATCGATAACATCATCCCTCTTGGAAGGATCACTGTGTAAGACAGAATTCACTTCCTGGTCATTTTCCAAAGAGAACTGCTTTTTAGGGAGACTTTCCTCAGCATCAGAAAATCTTCTTTTACAAGATTGCCTTTCTTTAGATGCCATTGCCTCTAATGGAGGCACAACATTTATGGGAACAAAACTTGTTTCGGGAGCATCAGAAAACACATTGTCCATTTGCTTTGTAAGCTCAGTTACAGGAGTCCCAGCATTGTTTCTCTCTTCCTCATCTCCTGTTTTTCCATCTCTGCTTGTAACAATTACTTCAGAGGTTTTGTCCTGTAAGAGCTCTGCTGGGCTTCCAGACCGCGTAAGATCTATAATACCACCCCCTGACTCACAACATTCAGTTTGCGTAAGAGTTAGGAGTTCTCTTTTTAGCGAGCTAGGCAAAATCAGTAAATCCATTGTATATTTATCTGCATGTGCCTCCACAAATTGCCTAAATTGCTTTTTAATATCTGATTCATATTCGCTTGACAAGCTTTCATTATTCTCAAAAAGCTTCACAAACTGCTGAACTTGACTTTGAGCCATAACAACTGCTTCTGCACCCCCTTTAATACTAAGCAATCCTATTTCCAGCACTGTTATGTCAGCACAGGTATCCTGAATAAGACTGTTGAGAAACATGTTCTGTGCACCAACAAAAATACAGTGCATGTCCTTTGGGTAGTATTCTTTTTCTTCTAGTTCAGGTTCACAGAGACCCTTAATATACTCCTAGAAGGAGAAAAAGACAGAGGAGTGAATCTTGTGAAAAGCTGACATTTAAAATTAGTCAGTAATGGACCAATACATTAGAGTTACAGAACTGCAGGGGCTGGAAGGTACCTCTAGAGATCATCTAGTCCAAACCCCTGCCAAAGCAGGCTCCCTACAGCAGGTTGTGGACATCTCATGTGTAGACTCCACAAGCTCTCTGTGCAGCCTATTCCAGTGCTCCATTACCCTTACCATGAAGTTCTTACACACATTTGTATGGAACTTCCTATGCTTCAGTTTGTGTCCATTTCCCTTTGTCTTACTGTCACACACTGCTGAAAATGGTCTGGCCTCAGCCCTTTGCCTCCCACACCTTGATATTTAGACACTGACCTCAGTCTTCTTTTCTCAAGGCTGAACAGACCCAAGTTGCTCACCCTTGCCTCATGAGAGGTGGTCCAGGCCCTTTATCATCTCTGTTGTCCTCTGCTGGGCTCCTTCCAGGAGACCCATCTTTTTTGTACCTGGCAGCCCAGAACTGGAGGACACAGTACTCCAGGTGAGGCCTCACCAAGGCAGAACAAAGGGGGGATGATCACCTCCCTTTTAATGCTCCCCAAAACACCATTGGCCTTCTTGGCCACTAGGGCACACTGCTGGCTCATGGCCAATCTGTTGTCCATCAGGACCCCCACATCCTTCACTGCAGAGCTCCTCTCCAGTGGGTCATCCCCCAATCTGTACTGGTGGTTAACAGGTGGCTATTCTCCCCTAGGCGCAAGTTTCTACACTTGCTCTTCTTAAACCTCGCCTGGTTCCCTTTCTGCCCAACTCTCCAGCCTGTCCAAGCAAAATAAAAATAAAGCCAGGTTTGCACAATAAGTTTGAGAAAGTAAACTATGTAACAAATACAAAACACATATCTGAAGTGATTTTTAAATAGATTTCATAGAAAGCTAACCTTTTAATGATATCGTATTCTTTATAACTAAATTCACTTGAAACTGATAGTAACTGAGTATTTGGAACCACAGTTTAAATACATCATATATTTACTTTATCACAGAAAAAAAAAATTAACGTTCTTGATTCTCAGAACTCTTAATATCTGGAAGCACTCAGCCTCAAACAAGTAAAGGCATTGCCATTATTATCTTTAATTTAAGAAAGGCTGAGTAGTTAAAACTATGATATTTGGACCAAACTCAACCTTTACTTTCAGTATTTACAGAGTAACTCATTCCTTTGGGTATCAGAATGGTATCTAGCTACTCAATTAAAAATACTGCTAAAATTAAAAGAGTTTGCAATTATTGCTTCTTTATTTTACCAGGCTAAATCATTTAAAATAAATCTTGATCTTCTCCACACAGTCTTTAGTTTTAGCATTCACTTTTAACAAGACAAGACAAAGATTTATCTTGTTACACCCATTCTTTGGTCAGAGAACACACACTTCATCAGAAGCACCTTGCACTAGAGTAAATTCATAACAGAGGACTTGCAAAGACCATTTCTGAAGAACTCCCAAAGAGTAACAGCAGAAGTGTTTATACTTGTATCTATTGTATGTTCTTTGTCCTATATTTATTACTGAGGCATAACTCAGTAACATATTACTGAGGCAACATAACTAGTAGCATCCATTAATAGCTAACCTAAGAAAAATTAGGAAAAAACAAGACAAAAGCAAAAACAATGCCTGGACTGCAACAGATTTCATTAATCTAAAACAACATTCACATTTTTCAGCTAGAAGTGAAAGAATCCATCTACTACCAAAAAGAAAAATCACATCCAAATTCTTAACAGCAAGGCAGCTTTTGACGACGGTTCGATATTTTGATGAGGGCTCATTACAAGGCTTTCTGAAAAAGTAGATAATATTGACAAAATACTGAGAAAATTCCCCAAATTTCCAGTTCTGTGTTAAACATGGACAGAATTGCTAGAAATTCAGGATTTTTTTTTTTTAATAGATTAAAAAAGGACTGTGATTTTCACCATCCAGAAGTTATGTAAATAAATTCTCTGTAATACTGTGTTCTAAACATGCCAGAGTTCAGAAGCTGCCAAAGCACGACCTGTTTTTCTGTCAGTCAGCATTATTTTTCTTAAGTCTACTGTACTTCAAACTCTACAATGTAGCAAAACCACTTTCTAAGCTGCAGTCATGATACTTCCAGATTCTGGAGTACATCAAATTTTAATGTCTTCCCTTAGTCTTAGAAATTGAAATTCTCTTTTAAATGAAACTGAAAGCCATTACAATGCAATGAAGAATGCAAGGACACTTTTTATCATCTCTGAGTCATACTGGTGTAAGCATCAAGGCAGGGCGCTTCAAGAGCTTCCAGTACAAATTGCTTCTGCAGCAAAGTCAACAGAAAAATGTTTGTGCTTTAGTCATCACATGACTGCTGTTGCTAAAAACAATAGGGTTAAAAAACTTACATCAAGATCTGAGAATGAAACAGCACTGAAGAATGAATATTGCAAACACTGATGAATTAAAACACAAATTGCTGTAACAGAATATTTTAAAAGAATAGAAAGGTGTGTGATAATGAATACTTTCTAGTCAACAAGCCATCCAGATAAGGTCTAAAGAAGGCTTTAAACGTAAAGGAAGAATCTCCTACACCCTTTCAAGTATGTGGAGTAAGAAGCAATTTGCATGCTGTAAGGAAAAAAGCAATCACAAAATTGAAAATTGTTTTCCAGCCTTTTTTCTGGAAGAAAAAAACAAAAAGGAAGTCGTACTGCAGCTGCCCAGAGAGGAGAAATATCCTTTATGTCACCTGTAACAGCTTCTAGAATCTCTGAGCCCAACAGTAGAATCAAACTGATTGAGATCCAGAGTCAATTCAGCAACCTTAACTTTCACAATGTTTTCCCTAGAACTAATGCACAACACAGGGAAAGGAATCAAGATCTTCAAAGCAGAATGTTTAGATGCTGAATTAAGTCATAAAATCCACTGTGCACGTGTGTGTTAAAGACACAAAAAGCCCAGATATCAGAACTTCGGGCTTTAGAGCTTCCTGCAGCCTACTGGCGCTCACACTGCTGCACTCAGCACACAAAATGAGCACCAGCAGCACATAGCTCCTGCTGACACCCCGTGTGCCAGATGAACAAGGGTTGTAACCGATTCTACACCAGCACCTCACAGCAGCCAGCGCCATCACCAATGGCACAAGCAGCACCGAGAGCTTTCTTCCTGTTGAAAGAAAAAAAGAAAGCTCCAGCAAACCAACAGGTGAAGAAGCTCGGAGCTGCCAACTTTCTTCCTGCAGGAAGTGAAGAGCTCGGCCGAGCCGTCACTCAGAGCCCTGCCAACAAGCCACGGAATCAGCGAAGTGCGTAAACCAACCGCAAAACCTGGCAACACCCAACCGAGCCCTGCGGCTTCTGGAACCGGAGAAGAAAAAGAAATTAGAGAGAGCCGCGTTCTAATCGCTCCGCGCACCGTCAGGTGCCGGAGGTCGCACTCGAGGACTTTGCGCCGCGTCGCCGGCAGCGCTGCCCTTCGCTCTCGCAGCCCAGTCGCTTCCGACACGGATGCTGGGAGGTCCCGGCACGTTCTCACCCCCACCCGCAGCTCCCTGAGTCACCCCCGCCCGGCCGGGCGGAGGGGCTTCAGTCGCGCTCCCCTCCCCCCGCCCCATACCTTGGCGCTCCGCACGGCCTTCCCGCCGCCCGCCAGCTGCACCCAGATCCTAGCGGCGGGTGGCGGCTGCCCCGGCGGCGGGAGGGCGGGCCGCCAGTCCCCCTGCGCCTCCAGGACGGCCAGCCGCACCTCGAACAGGCCCTGGATGCGGCCCCGGCTGCCCTCCAGGAAGCGGCGTTTCTCGGCCGGGACGGTAAATTCGTCCAGGCCCGGCCCGGAGCCGCGGGCCGCCCAGGGAGCTGCCATCAGCGCCAGCCGCGCCGGGCCGCGCTCCGGCCTCCCATCCCGCCGGGCCGCAGGACAACAACACGGGGAATCCCCGGTCTCCCTTCGCTCCCTACGTGCGTCATCAGCCCGCGACGGCGGCGCCACCGCCTCTCCAGGAAGTGGGCGACACCCCCTGCACGCCCGGGCGCCATCTTTACTAAAGGCAGCGGCGGCGGCTCTTCTCGTTTTATCAGGCATCGCCCCGCCTTTACCACGTGGTGGGCGGTTTGTTGCAGAACTCGGAGCCCAGCCGGGGTATAGCAAGGCAGTTTTTTTTTTTTTTTTTTTTTTTTTTTAAATACACCGTTCAGCTCTCGCTATGGACGAGATGGTGCTGCCGTGTGCTGCAAGGAGGCTCCTTAGTGCCGCGCGCCGCCACCACAGAGCCGGCAGCATGGAGCGGGCGGCGTCCGCCACGGGCGGCCCCGAGGGAGGGCGCGGGAGGGGCTCCCTGAAGCGAGGGAATTTCGTTCCTCTGTGCGCTTCTGCAGCCTGGAAGCTTTGCGTGAGCCCTCCTTAGTGGTTTCAGCAGTGTTCCGGTGTCACGTGGTGGATTTCGTTCAGAAAAAAAAAAACAACCGAAAAACAAAAAACCAACCATTAAAAACAGAAGTAAGTTTTATCCCTTGCGGTCATAAAGGGAGAAATGTCTCACCAGTTAGAGTAGCTCTGAGGCTCTACCAGGTTCTTGAATAGCTGCAATTGTCAATACGAAGCAACTGCTGTATAGAAGAGTAAATATTTTGAGTCTTTCTCATTTCGTAACCTGAACACAACTGACATCCTCCAAGTTCTCACTACTTGATCCCCCCTGGATTACATCCATCTCTCTGGTGTTGCTGTGGTGTTGGTTTTTCAAAGCTGTTCATTAAATGCATCCTCCAGAGGGAGGATGGATATCTTCTGCATCTAAATGTTCCTATTTTGTGCCGTTAATAGACAACGTTACAGCGGGAGAGTGTAAATACAGGGTATCATTTTGATAAAGAAGCTTGTTTATCTATTTAGAAACTTCTTAACTATATGACAGACTGCAATCAGCTGCATCTGAAGGTCACACCAAATACGCACAGCTGTAAACTTTTTGTTCTCTGAGTTTACAGCGTTATATCTTTGAGTGCAATGTAATTGTTGCTGTGGTTAAACGGGGTGACTTACACCTGTGAACACAGCATTTACACGCACACCTGTGCTCTGAACAGGATATGGTTCTAATGTTCGATGTTGTATTTAAGAAAAGTGATCGATTTTCCCAAAGATATTCTTTATTTTTCTAAAAATAATCCCCTTATTTGTATTTTAAACTTATTTGCTTTCCCATGAGTTATATTATGCTCTAACAGGCACACCGGGTTGCTGGACAATTTCTGGAGGTGGTTGGTGCCATCGGCTGTTATAAAGTGGTCACTGCAGTCATTGCTGCATTATAGTCTGTGTTAGCTATAAATGCAATTGTAAACAAGAAAATTTACAATTTATAAACAAGAAAAAGCGTGAAAATGAAATGATAAGCAACTTTAAGGTACAAAATATAATTAAAAAGCTGAGATAAGATGCTTTTGTTTCTTTCACACGTGTCAAAACTACTTTTTTGAAATGCCCCAGGATAGCTGAAAATGTACCGGTTTCTAAATAAAGTGGATAATGCTTGGTGCTCTTTATATAGATGGCGTATTTTGCTACATATATGTTGTAAAATTTGCTCTTACTGCAGAATTTATTGTAATCTGTATAATTCTCTATAATCTGTATTCAGTGGTAATTTTTAGCATTACAGTGGTATGAAAGGTCTCTCAGGTCATTGCAAGTGAGTAAGTAAGGTTCCTTAAGACTGTGCTCCAACGTGCTAAGTTTATGCAGAATGTGATATTTTAACATTCACGATAAACTAGAACCATTTGTAAGAGGAAAAGATCAGTGCTGTAGAAAAGGTTTACTTATGTTTACAAGCATGATTCAGTTGTTAAAACTGGTTGGAACTGCCTCCATGCTTTGTTGTGAATGAGGACTAGAAAAATATTTAGATTATTTGTTTCCAATTTGAAACTGCAGACCTACCGTAATGCTCCCCATTCTTTGGAAAAGTTGCAAGCCTCTTGTTCCAGGTGTATATTCAGGTGTGTTAAAACCAGATTTTGGCTAGGCTGAGCATACCAGAAATTCTCTTACATTTTATAACAGATTGATAAAGAGGACTTGTCAAGGTTGAAAGACTATGGGCTGTTGTTCACAGTAGAATATCCAGAGTGATAGGTCCTGTTTAGTTGCTGGGGTTTCCTGATGCTTTAGTCACATCTTGTAACCTTACTTTAGGGAAGGGCAAATGTAGTGCTTAACTGGTAACAGTTGAGGGAATTGTTCACTGAATGCCTGCACTTGTATTTTCCTTTGTAACACCAGTGGGATATTATACAAATTGTCCTGACTGTAAGTAAGCTAATTGTTGCCAAGTTTTTCATTAATTGTATTAACATTAGAGAAATACTCTAAATATGTTTTAAAGTACAATGAGCAACATCTTGCTTTTCAGGAAATATTCTGCAATTAAAAAGTGGTTGCGTAAATGATTTTGTGAAACTGGGCCTTCCTGAAATGTTTGGGCGTGAGTGCTGTACTTGAAATAGAGCTGTGCTATTTCAGGCAACAGAAACTGAATCTTAAAATACTTTCAGATCCATGAGTTATGCAGTCAATGATGGTACACTCCACAGATTCTGCTGTGATCTTTGCCACTAATATTATGGCCTTTGCTGGTATTATTCTCATGCATGAGTTTTAATATATGGCAATTATTCGTAGGCTGGAGTCCTAAAGTACTGGGATGTATAAGACATCCTGCTTTAATTTGAATAGCAGAAATTTGTAATCATAATGTAAATACTGCAGTAGCAAATTTTTTTAAAATGCAGCGTCTCAATTCTATGTATCTCAACCAAGGTCTCGTTAGGAGATTTTGCTATATGCTTTAATTAATGGGTATTATTTTTTGTTTCTTCTTCTTCTAGGTTAAATTTCTAGACTTTATTGCTATCTCTGATTAAGTAGCAGAAAACCTGTGTGATTGCTGGACAGCTGTGATTCAGAAAGCTTCCTTTTTGTAATGCTGACTGCAGCGTAGAGTTCTTAATGAACCCATTGATCAAAGCTTTTGTTTTATTTCTTTGGTTTCCAGAGGAAAACTGTTTGAGAATAACCCAAGGTATAGATTCCGCAACTGTCAGTTTCTATTACTGATTTTGTATCTGTCCCTTAATTTTAAATTAATTACCTTTCTTTGTTCCAAACGCTTTTTAAAATTATATACATTTGAATCTTTCAGAAAGGAAGAAGAAGAAAAGTATTGCAATTACACATGCATTGATTGCTGAATGTTGGTAATAATTCTCTTCTTGTGCAATGGAGTTTGCATTTGTTTTTTGAAGCTTTTTGAGTGTGTTAGCTTGGGTTTCTTAATTAGTTGCAAAGAGCTGCAGGTGTATTGGCAAAGGCCATCATTTAGCCTGGGAAATGTTCCAGAAAACAATGTAGGTTTTTTTTGTTGTTGCTTTTTGTTTTTTTAATGTAAATATTTAGCTGTGTTATTATGACTTAATTTTAACATTCCACACTGTGTGTTTGCTGTATTGAAATATGATAGTTTCACTTAAATGACTGACAAAACAAGTGATAATATAAGAGTATAATCTTTATTGCGAGAGGGTAGTGAGCACTATTGAATTACTTGTGGAAAGAATGAGGGGAATTTGAATGAGTATCACCATCACACAGCTGTCTGAGGAATCACAGCTCGGCTTCAGCTGATACACTGCGAGTGTGCCTTGCTCAATTGCCACTCTGAGGTGAAAAATAGGTAACAAGCAAAGGTTGTGCAGTGGCAAAAATGAAAGCATTAGCCTTGCTCTTTACAGCAATTTTCTTAGTTCATCAAAAGCTATACTTAGGATCCTGAGCATCACTATGGCTTTATTTTACTATTTACTTTTGCAGCCCAGGAGACTTTTTTCTTGGTTTTTACAAAATAAATAAGTAAGTAAATAAAAGTTTCATTAGTGAACATCTTGCTCCTGGTGTAACTACAGAAATGTAAACCCTCTTTTAAGATAGGACCTTACAGGTGATTTCTGGGATGTTTACACTGGCACAAAAATAAGTGCTTGTCTGGCCATGGTATGGTATAACATTCCAGTGAATTAAGTTATTTCTCCTGGTCGGATATGTCCATGGGCACTGATTACTTCAGCAGTGTTTTCCAGAAACTGATCTTAATTTCTAATTTTATTTGAATGTAGAGACTGTAGTAGGGAATGGCGATATTTAGCTTAAATTTTCTTGTACAAAAACAAAAACAAGATTTATTTTCTTCAGTTAAAGAAGAATATTTTTCCCCATAGAATCTACTGTGCTTTTTAAGCTTTAATGTATAGATAGATGGCAGGACCAGACTTTTTCTCCATATGACGACTTCTTGGATACAGATAAGATTTTGCTGATACATTTACATTGTAACTGACAATTGTCTTTTGAAAGATCCTTATGAAAACAATGCAGTCAAGAATCAGGTTTGCAGACTTTCTGTGGGAATACTGTCTAATGTAATTGTATGAATGTAAGTGGGATTAATCGCTAGCTGTTGTAAATTAGAATATTGTCACGAATTTCAGTTAAATTTGACTGATCGGACATGCTAAGCTTGCACGATAGTGGCATAATTATCAAACTGACCTGTTGTTCCTTACATAAAAGCAGTGATGTATTTACATTTGCTTCCAGTGTGTTTTATTGTATGTCTCAGAGCAAAGATAGTTTAATTAAATATCAGTGAAAAGTGTTTTCTAGACACAGAAAAAATTGGAAATTGCTTTAAGTCTCTAATGTTTAGAAAGCATACTTAGAGCAATGGGAAGCTTCCTTCTACGAGCTTGCTATCACAGTGATGGAAAATTAAAAAAAAAACACAACATTTTCATGAAGGCATGATTCCATT